AACCACTGAGCTAAATCCCTGGCCCTAACTTGCAATATATTTTGAAAACATTTTCATATTATTACAGTCTTTTTGTGTGTGTGGCACTGAGGATCCAATCCAGGGCCTTGTGCATTGTAAGCTTGCACTATACCACTGAGCTATGCCCCCAGCTCTATTTATTCATTTAGTACAGGGGATTGAACTCAGGGCTTTTGCCCTGAGCTACATCTCCAGCCTTTGTTTTGCTTTGTTTTTGAGATAAGATCTTGCTAAATCACCAAGTTGGCTGGCTAGGCTTGAATTTTCAATACTCCTGCCTCAGCCTCCCATATAGCTTGGATTACTGGCTTCAGTCTTCTATTTTTTATGACTATACCACAGTCCAACTAATCTTTTTGTTAGTGTAAATAGTGCTACAGGGCCAGGGATTTAGCTTAGTGGCACAGCACCTACCTGACAAGCAAGAGGTCCTGAGTTTGAACCCTGGTATAAAAGAAAACAAAACAAAAAACAAAAAAAACAGTGCTATACTTGAATGTCCTGTAGCTAAATCTTTGCATATATCAAGTTATTAAAAAAAACTGTTATTTCCTTAAAGATACATTCTGCCAGTGGAATTATTGAATTGATTTTAAGGTTTTTGTTTGTTTTATTACTATTATTTCGTTTAGCAGTGCTGGGATTAAACCTAGGGCTGAGGCATGCTAAGCGAGTGTTCTACCGCTGAGCTACATTCCCAGCCCCTTTGTTTTGAGACAATCTCTCTAGGTAGAGCAGCTGATTTTCTTTTCTTTTCTTTTCTTTTTTTTTTGAGACAAGGTCTCATTATGCAGTTCAGGCTGGCCTTGAACTATGTAGCCCCAACTGACCTCAAACTCACAGCAATGATCCTCCTGCCTCAACCCCCTGAATTCTAGGATTACAAGCATGTGCCACCACTCCCAGTATTTATATTAAAATACTGCCATATTCTACCTGGCTAGGACTTTTATTAAGGGCCAGCTCAGGCATTCCAGGCAAAGGGAACAAGGAGGTAAGTTCAGTGTGTCCAACAGAACTTCGTGTTCATGGAAATGTTCTATCTGCGATCTCCATTATGGCAGCCACTCGCCACTTTTGGCCACTGAGCCCTTGAAATGTGGTTCATATGACTGAGGAGCTGGAGTTTTGATGGGAGATAAGGCCAGCCTTAGACTGGCTAGGAAGAGAAGGGTGGGATCCCAGCACTGTCCCTCAGGACTCATAGTAGAAGTTCTCATAGGTCCCCTGGAGATATAGATGAATAGAAGTGATAAAGACAGGTAAATTAGAAATATTGTAGATAGTCAGACAGGGCTGGGCCCTTGAAGTCAATGTAGAGGATGAGAACACATCGAAGCTGTGGCTGGAGGCCATCTGAAGAAGATTAAAGTCACAGTGGCCAGATTTGCATACTTCCCTAAGGCAGGAACAGAAGCTTTGGATTATTAGTACAACCCTTTTGGGCTTTCTGCACTGGTAGACAATTATCTATTAGGGGTGGGCCATCCAACTCCACCCACTAAAACTAAGACCACTAAGACTAAGACTACAGATTATCAACCAAGGTTAGTGATGTTATCCATATATCTTTGTTACTATTGGATCAATATTACCTAAGCAACTATACTTGTAATCTTATTGGTTGATTATAGTTTTACCTATGTTGTACCCACCCCTCCTGACTTTGCTCTATAAAACTTCCTTTGAGAAGTGGGCTCATTGGCAACCCATTCAGGACAGAATCTTTTCTTATTCCATATTCCTATTCTCTGCTCCCATTCCCCCCAAATTTTTCAGACTCTTACACTTGATTTTAGCCAAGAGGCTGAGAAGTGATAAATTTTCCTACTGTTAAAGTCTGTTGTTCCTTAGAACTCATCCTTCGACTTTGGGGAACATGAACTCTGAACTGGAACATGAATTCTGAACTCGACGTATCTGACATCTAGCATGTTGGGAGTTATATCTATTCCTCCCCAATCAGAAGGACACAGATGTCACAAAGCTTGCTGTCGGGCTTTCCTCACAATAGCCCACCCTGTATCTTCCAGGATGTACGTTTATCTTGCTTTTTCCTCTTACTCAGCCCAAGTTTGCTCTGCAGAGCCTCATTCATCACTTTTACTTTTTCAAATAAACTCTGTCACAATTTTATTTGCTCATTTTGTTCACTTCTTTGTTTGTGGTGAGAGTCTGGAATCCAACTCCAGAAGGGAAGGGGAGCAACCCCAAACCTGGTAATGTTTATTTGGTGAGCCAGGAAGGATACTACCCTCTAACAGTTTTACTTTTTTAAAAAAAAATCAATTTGGCCTGTTGTGCCCAGATCACGAGGACCCCAAAGACCACCAAGGAGCCGATGCAATCACACAAGGGTCGTTTATTCAAGCTCGAGCAGGGACTCTCGACTGTCGCCAACGCAGCGGGTCATCAGGGTATTGGGGTAACTACTGATTAGCTGTTGCTAGGGGACTGCTGAACATTATCACAGACAGGTGGTCAAAGTACATCTTGTGGTTTTTCTTGGAACTGGAGTTTATGTCCAGGCCACCTTATTTTAAGATGGAGCCAAATTTTAAAATGGAGTCGCTTAGGTCTCACATTCACTTAGGTCTCACAGGCCCAGAGACTTAGGTCAGTGTTTCCAGTGCCTGCCTTGCAAGCGCAAGGTCCCGAGTTAGATCCCCAGTACAAAAAAAAAAAAAAATCAATTAAATGTACTTGGGCTAGGCTACCACATTGGATGGCACAGCTCTAGGGGATAAATTCTTTTCATCCCAGCAGGCAGTCAGCCCTACTAACATTGAGCTTTTTCCACATACTAGGATTGCTCTGGACAGCAGGAAATCAGCAGACAAGACAAAGTCCCTGTCCTCGTGGAGCTTAGGGTAACATGGGGGACTGAGCATCTGACACAAGTGATCCTTTCCTGACTGACTTGCAGACACCTAAGTCTTGGACAACAGGTTGATGGAGAGGACTTCAGGGGAAGCTCTGTCTTGGTTGGGCTAGGGCCCCAGGGATTAGGAGTCAGACCTGGGCAAAGCAGAGGGAGCATTGTTTAGGCAGAAGGAACACAGCAGGGCAGGGGAGGCAGAAGACAAGATGCTTAGTCATCCTGAGCGCTGCTTCGGGGCTGACCCCAGGCCTGGGGCCTGTGGGGGAACCGAAAGTGAGGCTGACTCAGCAGCAATGAACCCAGGACGCTCTCAGCTAGGTCCCGAGGTCCGGAGGGCTGCTTGGTCCTGACTCCCTGAAGCAGGAGGGAAAAGGGGAAGGGGCCACGCCCAGCCACCCAGACTCTTCCTCTGCTCAGCTCTCTTGCAACAGGCCAGGGACAGAAGGAGAAGTCTGGCCACTTCCCTGCTCCTGTTGTAAGACCGCTGTCTCACACCCAGGGATCCCAGCGGTGCCTCCAGACTGTAAGACCAAAGGCCTTACCAAATGCTCCAAGGAGCTGAAGTGGAGCACACCCGGGGATCCCAGCGGTGCCTCCAGAATGCAAGACCAAAGGCCTTACCAGATGCTCCAAGGAGCTGGAGTGGAGCAAAGAACACCCAGGAAGGAACACACCGGACAAGTTG